GTTATCATACACATGTGCTCATTCAAAAGCTTCTTCCCCAAGATTACGGATCATGTCCTTTAACCGATCTTCATTCATATCTATTTCATTATTCAGATTATCAATTTCCACATATTGAGACATGTTATTATAATTTTCCAATCGTTCACCATGCCAAATCCATATCGTATAATTCTTACAAATTCCATCATAAATCAAGTGCTCTCTTATTTCGGCAGCACCTAATCTCTTCTCATTTAAGCAATTAACACAAGGATAATAGAACCTTGCACTATTGTCAACATCATTTTTCTTAGAAAATTTTAAAAATTCCTTCACCCTATTATCATACTCATCACTCGTTCGTCTAACATTCATCTAACTACAATCCATATGTCAACTCCTAAAGAATATAACTAATGTTAAAAATTGGACCTTCTTAAAAATGATCACATGCAAACAACTTGATGAGGCCTTCTTAAAAACTAAATTTAAGCAATTCAAGGGGAAAGAATGAATTTTAAAAAATTTCGACAAAATTTTCCCTAAAAATTAGACCTCCCAAGAATTTTAAAAAATTTTAATAGAGAAAATTGATAATTTTAAACCAAATTAATGATCACATGCAACAACTTAAGACTTTATGAATCCACTAACAGCACTCTTAACAATAATCAATATCATTATCATCATATATATACACATATCAGCCTAATAAATTAAAAAAATTAAAAAAATACAATCAAATAAAAAATTATTTTTAAAATTAACTAGGGGGAGGGGGGTGGGGAGGGGGTGGGGACGGGGGGCTAGGGGGACGGACGGGGGGCGGGGGCACATGGGTGGGGACGAGGGGCTAGGGGGAAAGGGACGGGGGGCGGGGGGGACAGGGGTGGGGAGGGGGGCGAGGGCTGAGGAGGGTAGGGACGGGGGGCTATGGGGAAGGGGATGGGGCCGAGGGGGCCGAGCGGCGAGGGGGAGGGGGCGAGGAGGAGGGGGAGGGTGTGGGGTCAAGGGAGAGGAGGAACGAGTGTTCTAAAGGCGCAAAGAAGAGAAAATGAGGGAGGAGACGCGCGGAGTTGAAAAGAAAAAAAATTGAACCACTTTCTATAGCGGGTTACTATTCACCCACTGTAGAAAGTATTTTTTACAGCGATTGCCTTTTCACCTAGTGTAAAAACTATAATACGCATTGCCAAAATTACAAAAATGCCACCGCCTTAACTTTCTACACTACTCGCCTTTCAACCGATGTAGAAAGTACCTCTTAAATTTCATATTTTGTACTAGTGATACATTAAAATTGAAAATTAAATGTCTCATCTTTCATAGTAAGATTGGTTCTAAAATCAATTTTAATCTATTATGTTTCATTTATTGTTAGATGTTCAGAATAATTGGAAGAAATAATAAGGATAAATCTATTAAGATGATATAAAACAAGAGTCTTATTCTATATTTTTCTCAATAGCCATGCTCAAGAGAAATTTGGTGCCCTAAAAAGGGAACTCTTGGCCTCCTGATAGAGCATTTTTTTAAATTGACACAGAACACATTTTCCTGTAGTGTCTACAAGACAGTGTGTAAGCGATCTTGGTGCTGTTGTAAAGAGGAACTGTAGATCAAAATATCATTAAAAAGGACCAATACAATTTTTCACAAGTAGGGACGAAATAAATCATTCATAATTGCTTGAAAAGTGGCTGGAGCATTAGTTAAGTCGAAAGGCATGATTGTGAATTCATAGTGCCAAGAGTGAGTTCAAAATGCCGTTTTGTAAATATCATCATGTGACATCCTAATTCAATGGTATCTAGATCGCAGATCCAGTTTGGAGAAATAAATTGCCCCGTATAGCTCATCTAATAACTTATCAATATTGGAGATTTCATATTTGTCTAGAATTGTGATGCTATTCAATTTTCGATAATCTACACAAAAACGTCATCAAACCCTTTCTTTGCGACCAATAAGACTGGGTAGGCAAAATGACTAGAACTAGGTTAAATAAACCCCTTTTGTAGTAATTCTTTGACTTCCTTTTCAATCTCAATTTTTTGATAATGAGATACCTATATGATCATAAATTAGGAGGATTGGCCCCTGGTAGTAGGGTAATGATATGTGAGTGATTTCTAAATGGTGGCAAGTTTGTGGGTTCTTCAAAAACATAAGGGAATGTTGCAATTAAAGGTTTTGGGTTGAAATATTGGAAAGGTTTAGTCAGTAGAGGCTTCTATTTATCGCATTGAATTAAGTTGAGCACCTTTGGTAGTATTTAGGACTCCTTGTAGCTTATACCTTTTACCATTTACCTAGAAGATCATAAAGAATTGATTCCAATTGGCTTGCATTATATTGAGGGATGCTACCTACTTAATACGAAGAACTAGATCAGCTCATCCTAGGGTGTAGGGGAAAAAATCTTCCTTAATGGTAAGACCCATCAGTTCTACTTCCACATTTTTGTAGATTTGGTTACAATGCATAATACTACTATCACTAATTTTAACTCCAAATGTAGAAATAGACTGGGTAGATAGACAAAGTTCCTAGATTAATGCATCAGAAATCAATTTGTGTGTGGACTTACTATCCACTAATAATAACACCTGTCGAGAGCCCAACCTTCTATTAAGTTTCATTATTGACCCAGAGTTACTACCCAGGATGGCATTTAATGAAATTTTGCCCCTTTGGTTCTATTTCTTCAAGAAGAGGGACAATCTCCTCACCTTCTTCTGTGACCTCCATCAAGGAGAACAAGCCCTTACATTGATGAGTTCTCCATAGCGAAAGCAAAGGCCTTTCTCCCTCCTGCGTAGGTGCTCAGCGTCCATGGAAGCTAGTCTAGCCAAGCTTGATGATGCAAGGTTGAATGAAGAAGAAGACGTTGCTGGGTTTATGTATGAGTTTGAAGATGTAGTTGAAGCTTTCTAGGCCTGAGTCCTCTGTTCTCTTGTGAAGGTAGAGGAAGAATTATACTAGTTTTGGGTCTGTAGGAAGTTGGACTTAGGCCCCCGAGAGAGAAGCTTCCCTTCAAACTCCATTGTAAGACTCACAGCTTAGTAAACACTCTTAGGTTTTTGAATGCGCATATCTGCGCACAGTTCATCCTTTAGTTTGTTCAAAAAGACGCCGAGCAGGCAATGCTTAGGCTAGGTCTTAACTCGTGATGATCGTTTAGCAAATTCTACTCAGTATTCTTGCACGCTTCCTTCTTGTTTGATCCTACACAAATATTCATCGGGTTTTGGCACTCAAGGGGTCTGAAATTCTCTTGAAAAGCTGTCACTAGTTCATCCCAGTAATGAAGTGTCCGTTCATGGTTGATCTAAGCAAACAAGTCGAGGGTGTCCCCTTCCAAAGACAATGAAGCTATGTCTACTTTATCTTCTTCAAGTGTGCTATAATATTTAAAGTATTTTTTTATCCTTTATGAACCAACCTCGTGGGTCACCTCCACTAAATTTTGGGAATTCAATTTTGGTGCGATGAAATTTGCTGCGTCTATGATTTTCTTCCTCTTCTTTGCTTTCTTCTTCATAATTATGCCTATGGAAGCCCTCTCGAGTGTTTTTGCCTTTGTTGAGTACAGAGGCTTCGAGTGCCTTTATTTTCCCTTTTAATAAATTAAGAGTTTCAAGTCTTGAGGCTATGGCAGCTAGATCTAAAAATGATCAAGCCTTGATTTTTTAGGGAATGATTGGATGAATTGTCAGAATGGTTTGTTTCTTAACCCGTATGAGTGGTAACCATGGCTTTGATGCCAAATTGTTAGATGCTCAGAATAACTAGAAGAAATAATAAAAATAAATCTATTAAGATGATATAGAATTAGAATTTCGTTCTATATTTCTATCAATAGCCACGTTTAGGAGAATCTCCAAAGAATTTGAAAGATTGTTTTATTTATTCGATGATATGCTAGTTTCTAGGTTGCTAGTTATATTTATAATACTAAATACAATCTAAAATAAAATTTAGATGACTATCTAAGATAATGAATAAAATTTAGATAACTAGATAACTAAATAAAATCTCCTAAAATCTAAAATATTGAATAAAATCTAACTAGATAAAATACTTAATCTAAAGAATTAAATAACTAAATAAAATTTAAAGAAATATCTAAAACTAAATAAAATACTAAATTAAATAAAAATGAAATTAATCCTAATTTATCTTCTGTCGCTTCCTTCTTAAATAAGTCTGAATTCTATCTAGAATCTTATCACTTGCATTTGTTTCATTTTTTTTTCAGTATCTTTCTTTTCATTTCTAATGTAAAATATGTGAAATACATTTGTTGTTCAAGAACATCTTTTACTGTGTGTCCGTTTCACTATCAACTTGTTGTCATGTTACCTAACTGAAAATGTGACTGCTGATTAGTTTTGGCCCTCTATCTTGGCAAAAGGCATTCCTCCAAGATTAATTTGTTGAATTTTACAATTGGCATATTTTTGTTTCTCACCGGTCTCCATATTGAGTTTCATTTTATACAATTAAGATATACTCAAGTTAATATGCCTGAGACTTGATTTGTGAAAATATAAGATTTTTTTACTCTTTATGGTTAGACAAAGGTCATTGTTCAAAAGCCTTTTGGTCATGATATAGAATCTTCATATGCTTAAATAAACTTTCTCAAGTAGTATCAGCCTAACTATTATATTTTCTAGTTTTATGATTAAATCTATTGCTTGCAACTATGAATGCTGAAACATGGTCTAATAAAATGGAAAATATCATGTAAATTGACCACTCATTTATCTATATCAAAACCTATTTATCTCCATATCAGAAACATATGAAGAGACTTGAACAATCTATAATCCTTATCAATTTGGGAAATTGGTATAAACAGTACTTGAACAGTGTTTTCACGTGTGACGTATGTTGGTGGACTTCCAGTTCCCGAGTGTTACCTGTTGGCGGGCTTTTGAAAATTTCCCGCTCCCTTTTATTTTCATTTATTTAATTATTTAATACTTTATTTTCTTTCTTTTTTGTTATAGGCTTTTAAAAATTCAAAATTGTCTTTGCTGGTGTCATCGAGTTATTTCTGAAACTTAGCAACGAAAGCAGAAGTTACAGACGCGAGCAAAGGTTGAAGTGAGAAGAACATTAACAAGACTACTAAAATTGCTAGCCACACATTCAACATCATCCTTGGTTGCTGCTAGATCTCAAAATTATTCTCTTATGGTGTTGTTGAATCCGAACCCAGCTCAAGGCTTCTAATTCTTTGATGCCACCAGGGTGGGGCTTCCCGGTGTCAATCCTACACCCCCACCTCTGGCTGCTGCCATGGCTTTTTCTTTTACGGCCACCACCGCCGGTGTCAATATGGCTTCCTACGAGGGGGATTTGAGCAAGAAAATCCAAAAACCATATACGGTTACCAAGTCCAGGGAGAGTTAGACGGAGCAAAAGCACGGCAAATTTCTCAAAGCTCTCCAATTGTAAGTGTCGGTTTATCTTTATCTCCAATTAAGGTTGCTTTGAAATTACTATTGCTCTTTTGATGTTTTCATATTGAGCACCATTTTTCTTAACTGATGGATTTCAGATTTTGGCTAATGCAAGATTAAAATCGATCATTTCTTCCCTTACTCTATCCCCTCCCCTAATTGTTTACTGTACAAGTAGACTTGATTGGTTGATAATTTTTTTAACCAGTGAAATAGGTGAATGCACCCTTAATCTTTTCGGTTATTGCAGTAATTTTATCTACAATCCTTTAGAAGGGTTTTTTTTCAATTTATTACCTATTTTTCTTGCTATTGCGAATTTATGCTTCTCTGGCGATTTGAACTCAAGTACTCTTTTAGCTTACATGTGTGTGCTTTCTTAATATGTGAGATTTGGGTTCTAGCTAATGCCACGCTGAGATTGCCCAATTTCTCTAATTTCCTTCATATTTATGGGTTTCTTTGTAATTAAACGAAATTTATAGCTCTTAATTTGGCGTACATTGTTGGATTGAGAGGTGCAGCAGAAGATTAAAATTTTAAAATCTCTATCTTAATATGAATTGAACGAACTCATTTAAATTAAGGGAATAGAAGAGTTATCTTTTAATTCTTTAAACTTGACGTGTGTTTTCTTCAAGAGTTTGGATCTCAGAAGTTGATAACGTAAATCTGCTCCCTCTACCAATATCCATATGAACAGCTTTCTAATTCAAACAGTGTGCTAGAACTTCCAATGTCCGTTCTTCTTTGAACGTTAGTTTTTCTTTCTATAGTGTGTTTCGTGACTCTCAAAGTGTTTTGGCTATCAAAACTTTTTTAACTCTCTATCTCTTCATAAAGCACGTTCCTAACTATATATAGTATAAAATTTAGTATTTTCGCCTTCCACTTAAAGAGCTTACGAAAATTTAATTAAATTTATCTCATAAATTTAATTCATGGTATCATATTTAATTTAAATTTATCTTATAAATTTAAATTATAAAATTGACATAATATTCTATCATATCATGTTAGTTATTTAATTTAATCTATTATATAAAATTAAATTTAAAACTAACACAATATAATATAATATATATCACATATACATATTATATTATAAAAATGAATATATATATATAAAATTATATTTTAAATTTTATATTTCATATAAATATATATATAAATATTTATCAAATAAATATTTGAGGGACCTAGTAATATCTCTCACTTAATGTAAGGGACAAATTTCATCTTAACCACTCATATTCCTCTACATGAATGTCACTAAACTCAATCACAGCTTTTATGATCACTCGGTCAAAGCTAACTTTTGACTAAGTCAAAGTTCAGTAGTCATAATATAGGAATTCATGATGATCACAGGTCAAAGGGCTTAGTGATGTAGTTACATATGAGATAAGCTTATGACTTGTACTATACAACTTTCTCATAGTGGGTCAGTCCAGCACCTTGCACTCTTTCAAGTGCCTATGACTTTGATTCGTATCTTTATAATTAATGAAAGTCATACTAGTCTTGTTTTATCTATGATCTCTCATAAATGACCGACTAGGGACATTTAGGATAATCATTATAGTTTGTCCAAGGATACAGTTATCATAGTGAACATGCAATTAATATGATAACAAAAGAGAAATTCATTAAATAACAATGTGTATAATATAATGATTGGTCATAGGGCACAATTTCCAACATATATTTTATTGGGATATTTTTATTGGGATATTTTTATTCTGCCGATTGATTTATGTGTTTAGCGACCTTAACTTTTCTGCGGAGAGTGTGTGAAAACATGTTGGGCTCTTTCTCTTGGCACTTCTCCTAACCTAGAGGGGTTTTGAATCATGATGCACCAATTTTAAGTTAGCAAATTTCAATATTAAATTTAGTCCGTGGTAGAACGGAGGAATGGATTAAGTCTTCGCAATGCTGAAAATAGCCTTTTGGCCATGAGCTGATACAAGGGAATTAATCAGAAACCCCGCCATAAAAGAATTCCTATTTGCATAGTAGTTGTTGTTGTATCAAGTGATAATCAAGAAAACTAACCTTTTGCTGTGGTTTTGCATAATTTTTAACCGCAGTCATCTAGTGCTTGGAGAACTCTTGAAATCTAATGATCACAATTCAGGTACAATTTTGGATATTAGGATATTAGGATACAGTGAAAGATTACTATCTTTTTACCAAATATGTGTATTCATAACTGTGTCTTTAAATATTGGACAAAAGTCAAATAGGAATTTGAGTATTTATCGGTTACTTGGAAATGGTGCTTGTACTAAAATGACTCAAGAATCTTCTCTGAGAATAGCATTATGACCAACTACTTCTTTGGCAAATATTTCAAGCTTCATTACGATTTAAATCTGTAGAGCATCTCTGTCAATGGCCAAATTTTATTAATTGATTGACCTATTTTTTGCAACATCAAGCAACCGAGGTACCATTATTGATTCTGGAATGACTTTGGCATACTTGCAGAAGAGGCTTATATTCCCTTTGTCAGTGCGGTGAGTTTCACTAAGGTAATTTCTTGTAAGGTGGTCTATCAATGCTAGAAATGGCTTTGTTGCTTCATGAATCAAATTGTCATGCTTTTTTACTTGGCAGTAGTTTGAGCAATATTTGATATCAAGAATGATTTTGTTTCACGTAGGTTACATCTACAGTTCCATAATCCATATGTAATTTCAGTTCTTTGTTCTATATTAAAAGAATGTAAAAAGAGCGGAAATAGATTTTATACTTTGTATGTTGAATTTTTGATATTGTGTAGTGTTTCTATTTGTTATTCTGAACAAGTTATCAAGAGAATGCCGTTTCAGCAGCTGATATGTTGTTGACATTGTTAATTGTTATCACGCTGTAGAATATATCACTAATCATTAATTCAAATTCTCCTTTCTCTCTGCTATATAAAAGTAAACTTTCCAATTGGCTAACAAAATAAATAAATAAATAAATAAATTTGGAAGGTGAATTCCTGTAGAAAGTGAAGTGTTTTTAACTTCCAATCACTTCAGGGGTTATCAAATTTAATAATTGATGTTGAACGCAAATTCTCATTTTATGTCGCAGCCTTGTGTTAGTTTATTAATTTACTAATCCCTTTTAGGGAAGAGGCGTGCTTGCTGATTGTTTGTTTTCCATTTCTCTTGCAGCACACTCTAGAATGTGTCATATTTTCACTGTGCCTTGGGGCTGTAAATCTTGTCTACAGTCCGCAACTTCAATTTCGTTAACCCTCTTCACTCTTAGTGTATCATTGACAAGGACAAAATCCTACTAAAAATAATAATTAAATTTCTCATTCTGTTGACATACAAAGGATTGAGGTGGGCGTCTTACAATTACTAGTGTTGGTTGAACTATTCCTTTTGTAATTTCTTTGCTGAAAGATAATTCTAACATTCCTTTAAAAGATATAGGATACGGAATATACTTATTTGGTTCAATTTGAATTTATAGTTTGGACATATACAAAGAAAACTACAGGAGGTATTTGTGAGAAGAGTGAAACAAAAGACTTTGAGTCCTGTCAAGAAGGGTATAAAAAGACTGAAGAGAACACTTTTGGAGGTTGTTGAGCAAGACCTTTTAATTAATAATATTTCTAAAAACTTAATAAATGATAGAGCATAATAGTGTCATATAATCCATGTAGCCGACCCCACCTAGTGGGATAAGGCTTGTTGTTGTTGGTTCAATTTGAATTCATGTTTCTGCTATGTTTGCCGTCACCAATGTCATGACAGATTACTATTGTTTTGGTTAAACTAAATATAATTACCATTTGCAAACCTATGCTGGGATAAAGTTCTCTTCTATGTTTATATGTTGCCTACATTGCTGATTGCCTCCTTTTAAGTATTATACAAACTTTGGTATGTAGCCAACAAGAGTGATGTTTACATCTTGCATACTTAGGAGAATGATGATCTCATTGTATTTATTTTGATTAACATTTTCTACCGCTCTTCTGCTGTGAATCATTTTTCCTCCTCTTATTACAACTTTGATTAATCTCAAGGAATCAATCACCTACTTTAATAACGAGTTTGGTGCATTTGGTTTAATATGCTGTGATAATATTACTTTGTCTTCTAATCTTTATTTAGATACACTGTATATTGGTTGTATCTTTGGCTTAGTCTTGGGTTTATTATAAATACATGCACTCTCTCTTTTATTCTTTATAATTCTACTTGGTGGAACATCAGAAAGTAATCTGCCAAGAGAAAGATAAGAAAAAAAGTGAAAAGAATAGACATTGTGTTTATAGTATTTAAATTTCTACTTATGTTTGTCTTATTTCTATATGCCTTCTTATCTCATGGTCTTTTTGTTTGATTTCCATGGCTTGTGAGTGGTGGCAAAGTCAAATAAATTTTTGCTGTCCCATGTGATAATCTAAGAGCATGGATCAAACAAGCAGCTATATTTTGACATCCTTGCTATCCAATGTGATTGTGCTTCAATTTCAGGATAGGGTTCTTGAGTGATATATGTGATATAGAGATACTGTCACGTTCTAAAATTTTAACATAACCAACATAAAATATATGTACAAATTCACATCCCTGAAGTTTCAATTAAGAAAAGTTCTGAATTAATGTATCAAATTTTACTTTTCACATAAATCAAAATATAAAATTTTTACAACACCTCCCCTAAAGGTAAGATCCTCCGAAATTTCTACAACAGAAAGTTTACAACGTATATCCAACAATATGGTGCTTTGCTTCTCAGCAGCAAATAATTAACATAACAATAAGAATCAGGACTTCAACTATAGTTAATGTGGAGCACTCTAAATCAGATCTCTAAAAGGTACAACATAGGTGTTAGAATTTTACATGAATAGGAAGATATTCTCAAAATTGGTCTTCTAATTAATTCAGCAACAAGCCCATCAGAGATCAGCAAAGATTACAAAGTTAGCTATGGTATCTGAGACCAAATAAAATACTTTTCAGTGAATAACGTTGCAACAATAAATAATTGAATATGAATAAAAAAGAAGGTTTGAAATAATTATGTAAGTTAAATAAACGACAACTTTTATAAAAATTTAATAAATTTCAAAATAAAATGGCTCTATAAAATTTTAAATAAAATTTTAAACCATTGAACTATCATAACAAATGTTATTATCACTTGATTTCAAAAAAACCCATAAATGAAATAAATGTTTGTAAATAATTTACTAAATAAAAACTAATGGAATATAAAATCACCAAATATTCAAATTCATGATTTTAGGAACTTATCAGAATAATAAACAAACATGGACACAGTCCATGAGAGTAAATAACTAAATGCGGCTTATGCCACGAATACAAACGTGGACACACAGTCCACAAGGGTAAGTAACTAAACGCAGCTAAAGTCACGAAACAAACGTGAACACAGTCTATGAGGGTAATGCTAACCACACGTGGCTTAAAGCCATGAAAACAAACACAGGTACAAGACTTATGAATAACAAACGTGAGAACAAGGTTCACAAGAATTAAACTAGCCAGTCATTGATCATGGCACGCTAAAGGCTAACAGAATTTTCGTTAGCAACCAATGTTTTGTATAAAGTTCTTTTTAAATTTATTTTCAGACATGCGAGAAAATCATTATTTTTAAAATGTAATTTCTCTTCTCAGTATCAAACTCGCATGAAACATATAAAATACCAATCTTTCTAAATATAAAAATTCATGATCAATGTTTCATAAATTGTTCACCAATTTCATAGTTGGCTTTATCAAATAAAGGACTGCTAGAATTTGTAAAAGCATTTTCGTCAATTTGAAAAGTATAAATCATGGCTTTAAGAAATAAAATAATTTAATTAACAAAAGTAGCTAATGTAAAAGAAATATATATAAATATCTGTAAATTGTTAAAATCAATATTTTGATAAAGAAAATCTTTTAATATATAAATTAATTGGGACGTTATCCATTTACCTGATGCGCTCTCATGTAATACTATTTATTTCAAATAGGCCTCTTTCATGAAACTTTCACTCTAAGATTCCCTAATACCAAAGTAACACTATTAACATTTTCACTCCACAACTTTGTAAAAACATACAAATACTATATATACATATATTTTATTTTATTATAAAACTCTACAATCACCATCATTTATGAAGTAGAAAGGGATTGCTTAACATTAATCTGATTGCATATTTGCAAAAGTTATCAAGAAAGGAGAATCTTAGTTCACTTCTTTCACATAGTACAATCACAACAGAGACAAATTCTATTTTTGTATCAATCTTGCTTAGAAAGAACATAACATGAGATTCAATGCAAAGACATAGATCATAATATCAAGCAAACCAAACATAAAATATTCCATCCTCTCTTTATATGCATACTTCTAGACTTTATTATTTATTTCACTGGACTTGCAACACTATCTCTACATATATCTCCAAACAACATTTATGTTTGTATATCAATGTAAAACTCAAACATTCATAATCATATCAGTTCCCTCTTTGAAACATTTTATCAAACATGTTAGTGGCACCCATACCTAACTAAAATACTAAGATTCTTTTCTTTCAATTTTTCCTTTCCAAAATTTTTATCATCAATTTTTTAACTTTCAAACCTCATTCTTTCTACATAACCCATTTAAACTAAAGAAAATTAACTTTAATCCCTTCCACTTACAGTAATCCAACACAAATATAGGTGAAATTATCTATCAACAATATAATCCTAAATACAAGTTTCAGCTTAACTAGATCCCAGCTACTGCCTCAGTCACGCACAACAATAAACCAAAAACAAACATTTCGATCTTCAACTATTAATCACAAATAAAGAGAATCAAATAAAGGTAAACAAGAGGTGAGATTTATTCACCAGCAGAGCAAAAAAAAAAAGAAGAGAGAAAATTTAATGCTTCCCAGACACACAAAACTCGACGGCAACAGTTGAACTGAAAACAAACAAAAGAGAAGCATGATAGGGGAAAATGGAAGTACTAGTGGGTCGAACATTCTGCAATCATGAACCGAATCTATCACGTCCAGTAGAGCAATGAAGAAGAAGAAAGATTCTATGCTTCCCCTAGCTACACACATTTGGCGGTGGCATTTGAACTAGGACGAAGAAGAAGAAGAGCAGCGGCACTACAGGGGAAAGTGGAAAGACTAACAGAGTGGATATTTCGCACCCATGAACCAGCTTCCATAACACAAAATAATAGAACTTGCTACACGGCTCCAACAGGGGAGAAGAAAGAACAGTCGGTGATGGAGAGCAGAGGGAAGAGCAATGCGAACAGAGGAGGAAAACTAGAGAATCCAGTAACCCAATCCATTGTAGCTGACGAACGTGGACTGAAAGGAGAGCGGTGGACGAGCTGACAATGATGGGAGGGAAAGGTGCGACGGGGAATCGTAGAAAGGCGGTGAAGAACAATCACGATCCTCTCCGTCTTTGCTCTCTCTGTGAAAGTTGGCCGAATGACAGAGAATAAGAAGAGAACATATAATCTAAAGGTTATGGGAAAAATGACAGAAAAAGATCCCTTTAGATTTTATTATTATTATAATATTTTTATAACAAGAGGCAAAGGCACATTCAATAATTTTCTCATAAAAATAAATAAAAATAACATATTTAATTTAAGTAAGATTTAAACTCTAGACTTCCATATAAATAACTAATATAAATTCAATTAGGCCACTACTCCTTATTTATCGTAAAACTAAAATAATTAAATTAAATATTAATTGGGAGAGAATTTATTTAATTTAAAATTTAAGATCATTGTACTCTTACTAGATCAACATTTCTTCTTTTTTTTAGTTAAGATGTTTTTTAAAATTAAT